GTGACCTCTATATGTATGCCGTATGTGTAAGCTGATTCAATGCAACTAAGAGCATTTGAGCAGACATAATTGTGGAAAAGTATAAACATCATGTGTAGCAAACTTTCATCGGTTAATCATAACATTAGGGGGTATCTAATACACATGAAACAACAAAGATTGTCTTACATCCTACCATAATCATGAACACCACTCTATAATGTATATAGCAAATCAACGTGTGAATGTGTGTGTCTGTTGGTTAAGTGGTGTGTAGCTAAAAACATTCTCACGACCTCTAGTACATGTCGTGACTTAAACATAAGAACATATTATGGCTAAGGCTACAGTTATACACATCATAATAATAATATTAAACACCCTGTCTGCTGACAGTCATCAACTCTTCTCTCTAGTTATCCTTGACCAGATGTACCCTGTAGAAACTCATAAGCAGGCCTAAGCATTTAACAGTCTAACTAGACATCCTATCTCCACTAAACATTTCTAATACATAAAGTATCTATCCAATATCTATCTGACTAAAAATACCTAACACTAGTACTAAAGGACTTGTCTTCCTCATGGTATGTCATTTGTTTTTCTACACAAGTGATTTAATAAGTGTTGATATGTATTGCTGACTATGTGCACTGACCAGTAGTTGAAGAAGAATTCTGATTCAGAAGGAAACGTACCACTACAACAACCTAAAATTACACCATTACAAGTCTTAAGCTGTTATTCACACCATTTACTTCATGTATCAAAAGTACAAGTACTCATTCTACAGAAAAGCAGACTCTGTGATTAGATCCATTTTGTACAGGCATTTTACATAACTACTGTAAGTACGGTTACTGTAGGTAACTTAGTTCAAAAGTTCCCAACCTACAGTAGGGGTCAAGCTCTCTCCCAAAGGTCACAAGACAAATCCGAGGGGCCGTGAGATAAATAATGGGAGAGGAAAGTAGTAAAAACAATGCTTTGATACATGAATTTCGTTCCAGTTTGGGGGAATTTCTGGCTTTTTACAAAGTACTGAATAATTGCACCTCTTTAGGCCTTGGACAGTTATTTAAGTGAAAAGTCAAAAGGGGAAATCTCTGGTGGAGCTACTAACAGCTGAGCTCACACATTCGAAATGTGACAAGGGAGCTTCAACTAGATTCTGCTTTGTTGTTCGACACAAAAATATTCTTTAAATCTCTAACAAATTGCTACATTTTTTAAGTTTATCATCAGTATTTTAAATGTAAAATCCTAATTTCTAAAAGTAACTAGTAGCTGATTTTAACTTTTAAGATAAATGTAGTGCAGCAAAAAATACAATATTTTCCCCTGAACTGCAGTGTAGGTATTGTATAAAGTACAAGTACAGTATCCCCTACATTCAGACTCATTCAAGAAAATACACTGCCGCTTCTCATTATAGCTAAGAAGATGATGGCAAGAGAAAAGGGACAAAAACAAAGATAGTGGATAAGAATGTCTTTTCAACTCTGGCCTGATTTGCTCGACAAAGCTGAATCTCTGAATGACTATACTGCCAAAAAACGATTAACCACTCCTAGTGCCCAGAAGAATAAAACTGATGATTTCATATTCTTTAAATTCTTTATAACTAATTGACTCGCTGCACCTATTCAGTGCAAACAGAAGTCTGGAATACATCGCTGCCTTTAAATAAATCAATGTGCAAAAATTAAAGGTTTAATGAAAAGAATGGCACATAAGAGAATAGACTTTCATTACAAATTATAAAATGTATTTATATTTAACCAATGTTCAATAAAAAATTACATAATGGCCCATTATTATATCATTTAGATAACATACAATAAAATCTTAACATCAGCAAACAGGTTTAAAACTATGCCAATGTGACTGATGAGCCAAGGAAAATTAAAGAAAAATGTGGGATGTGCTGCCATCTAGTGGTTTGGCCCTAATCGTAACAATGCAGAACTGTTGCATCATGACTGCAACAGTGTGCTAGAATTATATGAAACTGTGGAAATGATTATTCCATAAATCAAACATTAAGCCCATTTCCTCTAATAGATTTTGGACAATTTTGCGATTCAAAAAAAGCTTTTCAAAAAGTGCAATAAAGTGATTTCATTCCTTTTGCTTTGCTGTCTTCTTGAGCTGGCACTGCAGCAGATAAACAAACACGACAATATTCACAGAACACTGGATTAGACCAAAAGAGGAAATGCCGTAGTTTACATACAGGAAGCCACCAGCAGTCGGTCCAACTGTGCGAAGCAGAGACTGAACAGATGCACACAGCCCCAGCATTGTGCCTGTGTATAAGAACAGAGTGGGATCAAAAAACAACGGGATTCAAATAACTAAGTAATTTGCATTTTGAAATGTAGTCTTAAAATTTTATTTTGTGTGCATTTATGTAGAGTAAATCTCGCTATCTAGTCTTTTCAGTTGTTGAGCCTGGAGTTTTCAGGTTCATTCAGTTTTCATGTTTTTTGGGGGGGAGGGCACTTAATGTTTTGCTATTCTCACATCTGACAATGAAGAAAACAAAAAAAAAAGACTTTCAATGTTATTTTTGTGCATTTTCCACCTTTTAGTCAGCCCTAAATCAGATACTGTCAAACACTGAGTGATCAAAATGCTGCTTTGACTAATTAAAGTCTGTTGAAATGTCATTACTAAGGTTTTTAATGCTGGGCTGTGCAGGATGTCCTCACCTGTGTCAGAGGATGGCACACTCTTGGTGAGTATGCTGTCTGTGATGACACCAAACATGCTGAGAGCAAACATCATTGGCAAGACAATGAGGCAGAAATGGAACACATTCTGCATGTAAGCCTGCCAAAAGAGAGAAATATTAAAATATCAGCATCTGAGCAGAGGAGTGCAACTATGGATTGTATTCGGTACTTTGTAATTACAGTAACTTGATCCGTTTTAAAAAGTCGTGAACTACTACCCTTTCTTTAGGGTCATGTTGTCATTTTACTGGTGACTCTGTAGAGCACCAGTCAGTCCACTACTCTAGTCCAGACATAAATAAACACTTGAAGTAAGGTGCAAGCATTTGGTCATTAACCAAAGTTTTAGACAAATTAAAAGCAACAAGAAGAAGCAATAAAGTGTATTACTGAATGTAAACCAATGGTGAAGAGCAGAGTTTAGTTTCACTGTCAGCTGAAAATCTCAAATCTCCACTTCTGTGGATTTTCTCTGTGCTTTCAGATCAGTTAATGAAACAGAAGAAAAAGAAAAGGCATAAGTAAATGAACCTAAAACAGGAAATGAATGAGAGTTGTGTAAAAAGATAGGAAGCATAAACAAGGAAAGAACATGGTGAAGACAGAAACAAAAAAAGCAGGTTGTGTAGAGGTTGCGTAAATGTTTTCATCGAGGTAAAACAAAGCAGTTTTTTTAGGTATCCTGGAAAATGATCCGGTAAAGTAAAAGCTTTATGTGTGCTTTTGTGTGCACCTGAGCCAGTCCCACCAAAGAAGAAACTCCGACGGACAAAAGCAGTAGTGAGCTCTCAGAGTATCTCGCTGTAAGTCGACCGATCACTGCTCCCTGAATAACCTGAACAAACATCTGAAGTTTACTGACACAAGCTTCAGCACGCAACAAACGAAGGACAGAAATCAGAATTGACTTTGCTTGGATTTCATTATGAGTGACACTTACCATTTGGACTATGCCAAAATAAGCCATTAGATAGCCATTCTCCTGAGGCTGCAGCTTGAAGAAATCCAATGCAATGATGGAAAACATCACTTGAAAAATGCCTTTGAAATAAAGAGGAGCATTACTTAAGCTTAATTTACAGTTTTATCTCCCAAAATTTGTGGTGAATTCACACATTTTTGAGCCGACTTTGTCTGTTATTTCTATCGTAAATCAAATATGACCAATTTGTTCTGCTTTACTAGCACCAACCATTTCAAGTAGTTTTTGGGTGACCGCAAACGTCTAAAGCTTTTTAAATTTAATTTTATACACACATAGGGGGTCCTGAATCCTGTTAACCTAGAGTGAAAAGACAATTGTTATTTTATAAGTGGCCTCCAAAAAGTTGTGGTTTTGCATTTTCTGTAATAGCTACAGTCTTGACATGCCGAGGAGCTAAGAATGGAAAAACAAGTCTTTAGACAAACCACCTTTCACTCTGGCTCTCACCTGATGGCAAACCTGCGATGATCTTCACAAGAAATGTCGGAGTCACGCCTGGAAACTTCATCAGTCTTGTGATCTCACCCACATCAAATAGTGATTTGTTTTTTTTCTCACCTGCAGCAAATTCCAAGAGAAAGAATAAAACTGAAAACTGACAATTGCATGAATACCTACCATATAATAAAAACTAAAAGGCTTAAGTAAACAACCACAATGTGTGAAATGTATGAACACTAGGCACACAGGCTGTGTAACTCATGCAAAATTATATTATGTTTCAATTAAAGAAAAACTGGAATGGGAAAAGACACCGGCGGAGTGGCCCCTTCCACTTTTCAATTCTATGGGAATCTTTGTTTTACTTTAGTCTTGCAGATGAAGTGACAGAGATGGGTACCTAGTGAAAAATTCAATTATACTAAGACTAGGCTACTCCATTCTCAGAAATGGCTACATTTCCTTTTCCTGTTTTCAGTATCTGTCATCACTTCAACCAAAAACCAAAACACTGAGACAGTCACCAGTTTAAATCCAACTCACTGCATTAATTGCATTGTTTTGTCTGCTACAGCATATCGCACATACTGTATTTACTCAGTAAACCATGTAGTGTGTTACAGCTTTAAGAAAAAATTTGGACTCGAAAGATAAACATGTATATTTCTATTGACCTAATGTGACTGCAGCTGGGCATCAACAGGTCACCGATTCAGAACACCACCTCACCTCTCCCTCCTAACGCCTGTGTGCCTTAGGCCTGAACATATCAGCACTTTATATGCATTCACAAACCGCATACATGTGGCATAATTATATGTGTCTTACTGTCTGTGCTAGTTCTTGGAGTTTGAGCTTTAGTAGTTTTTGGGATAAACTTTAAAACCAACAGTAAACTGAAGACATTCCCTGCAGCAGCAAAACATGAAGTAAACGTCTGCCTGGCAAACACAAAGTAAAAGCAGTGTTAGATGGACAAACCTGGACATTTTAGGTGTAAGTGTTAAAATTCTACACATAAACATATCAAACACATACATACTGTAGCACTTAAATATTTCAACATCATAATCTTCATTGATTTCCAGACTTAGTTAAAGCTGAGATAACTGTGATGGTGTTTTGGCCACTTGGGGGCGGCAGAACACGCTGGAAATGCAACACTGTCCCTATTATGACCTTAACAAGTGGATGTGCCAAACATGTTTGCAAACAGTTGCTTATTTACACACCTAGGAGACATGGAGCAACATTAACATTCATTTGAAGTTGTGTTTGTGGCCCTCTGAAGTCCACTATTAACTCTCTTTTAGCTCTGCTTTGGCTTCTACCAAGTCCTGAGAGAAATATCTGATGCTTTAGCTGCTAAATTTTCCATTTTCTTCACTAGCTACAAACTGCTCTGTCTGTCTGTTTGCTGCTGTAAAATTGCTGAAGAGAGGAGTGAGTGTGAAAACAGCAGTGAAACTGGACCATAAAACCAACACAATGAACTGAAAGATGCTAACTGCTCGGTTGAGCTAAGAGGAACAGCAGAGCATGGCACTAATTCTTCAGGGGTTGTCCACTACAAGCAAGCCCTTGTGCTTAACACATATATATTAATAGCAAATTAAATAACCAAGTATTGATTATTGCAACTTTATGGACACAGAAGTGTATATGGGGTTGCTGCAGGTCCTAACTGTAGTACTGAATTTTACTGTATATGTGTACAGTATGTTGGTTTACTTATTTTGTTCATAGTTTAGGGGGCTATTCTTTTTATAAGAAGACTCATCATTGCTGTAAAGCATGTAGACAGGGTTTCTCCATGGCAGTAAAGTAAACAAGAGAGACATAAGAGTGAATAAAAATCTTTCACACTGGCCTAGTGTGTAATCGCTGACATTAAGTTTTTGTAACTTGAGTAATCAACCCTTCAAAATGTTCTCTCCACCCAACACATACACACAATAGCACACATGCAGAGACACTCACCCATAGCGTGTGCTAAGAAGGCCGCCCATTGTGGACCCAACTATCATACCGATGCCAAAACACAGACCTAGTTTGGATAGACCATCTGCTTTTTTTTCAGGTTCTGACAAATCTGCAACGACCATCTGACATGCTGCAGATGGATACAAAATAAAAGCAAGTGAAACGGCATCTATTGTCAGAACAATAAATACAAACAAAGAGAGGTTAGGTCAAAGCAGTAGAGCACTGCACTAGTGTGAAACCTTAGACTATATGTTGGTTGTACTGTAATGTGTTCTAACATTTGATATCACCTGCATTTCTGTAAGCTCACAGTCCAAACCCAGCTTTTTTTTTTAGCTAAATTACAGGTAGCTGCAGATTACATGGTGGTTTGTATTTGTGTTAAAGATTAAGTTCATAATTTTCCACATATAGTGTACAAACTACAACAACTAAGGTGGAGCTCGGTAGGGGCCCAACAACAAATCTTTGTTCTAGGCACCCCCCCCAACAAGGTTAATCTGTCCACGGCTGTAGAAACAGGTGGAACGTTAGCAAATGAAGAAACCAGGAAGAAATGAATACATATCAATGAATGACTTGTGGTGCTCACCAGGTAGGACATGCATGAAGACTGTGGGGAGTTTGTGGATGAACAGCATGGCAGGATGGTTTGCTATAGCCAGCAGCAGAAAGGAAGCAATCGCTGCAGAACATGCTAGAGACAAGGCTGCTCGTGCTCCAAAGAGATCTGCAAACCTGACAAACAAAACAAAACCCAGAGATTATAAGACAGTGTGTGCCACTAATTTGGTTCTGTCATGTTGTGCTGTCAGCACTGTATTTACCTTCCAAAAAGAGGACCCCCGAGCAGCTGGATGACGCCCACTGTGGTTTGCAAATAACCAATCCACAAGGTATCAAAGCCAAGTTTCTTTGCCAGATACTACATGGGAGACATAATGAAAGTACATAAAATATACACAGTTATATATAGCATGTCTTTTTAGAACAACAAATCACAGCAGAAAGTGGCAATAATCTTCAAGTGTTACAAACTTGTCTTTGCTAAGTGTTACTTTTGAGAACAGCGGTGATGATGGCGGCAGAAATTCATCTCCCTCTGCATGTTTCTGTATCATGTATGACTCAAGAGTTTTTAGAAATTTGAGGTCACAGTTTGAAAAATCTACCCAGGCATTTTTCTTTTCAGAATATACGGATCAATAGAGTGTATATCATTGTTCTGTGTTTACTGTAATACAGTTGGTACTACATTAACTAAAAGTATATGTCTCCTTTAGATTCACATCTTGTCATTTCCAGTTCCTTCTAGCCTCTAGTAACATAACAGTGACATCAGCAATAATAAGTACTTTAACTTTTAAGTTCCTTTAAATGCTCATAATGCATGTGTACATGAAGCATTGCCATGTCTTATGACAATACTATGAGGTAAAATTACTCTGATATAAGTGAAGGTCCTGCATTCACAATTTTGCTTAAGAAAACATTCAAGTCAGCAAAACATACTATAGAAAGTAAAACTACTTGTATTTAATCTGTTACTTATTTTTTCAATTACTGACTAACGTTTAGGCGATAAATGTTAGTCAATAATTGAAAAAAATGTTCATCACATTTCCAGGGAGTCCAAGGTAACATCTTTATTTTGTTTTGTCCAACCAGCAATCCAGCACCCCAAGATATTCAGTTTATAATGATATAAACAAAAGTAGCAGAAAGCCCTCACATTTGAGAAGCTAAAACCATTAAATGTTTGGATTTTTACAGGAAAATGACTCCAATGATTATCAAGACTGTTGCTAATTAATTTTCTCTCAATCTATTAATCAGCTAATCTAATCAGCTCTATCATGTTGGACAGTTCAGTCTACAACACTGCATCATGTTTTGTGATTATTTTCAGATCTTTATGTTTTGTATGTACAAGTATTAATTTGTAATATACCTAAAGCTGTCAAACAAATGGAATGGAACAGGAAAAATACAACACTTCCCTCTGGATTGTAGCTGGACTGTAGTTTCTGGATTGCATTTTCCATCACTGTATAATTAAGTGCAGTATTGAGGAATTTGAATAGTTTTACCACCACTGCATACAGTGATCGATCTAAGGGTTATTGTGAATTTATGTCATATCAGCAAAATAAGCTCACTACTCATTGTGAGTATGACATTCACGGCAGCCATGGAATTCTCAGTTTCCTGTTGTGACATAGCACATGGGCTATTATACGGCACTTACAGGCGTTACAGAGAACTGTAAAAACATCCATGTCACATCCAAAGCAGCGATTAGGTAAACGATGTAAATAATTTTCCTCCTCTTAGGTTGGTCTGTAACGTTATCCTGGGAAGAAATTGAAGCTTTGAATGTTCCCACGGTCGTCTCTCCTCTTAAACTCATTCCGACGCTTGACTGAAATACGCCACCGAAATGAGTTATACAGTAACCCTAATATGATCGACCGGCACAAGAGAAACGAAACAGTCGGTAGAAGTCAAACGGAGACTAACTCCAAGTATCGCCTGACCTGTAAAACACACTCTGACCTGGTGAACCCTCAGATAAACTCGCTAACCTAGCGTTTGTTGTACTTTGGAACAGAGAAACGACATGGAAGCGTAACATATGTTGTTAACTAGTTGCGAAAAATCATGATGCATAATGAAAAACCGAGGTGTGTGGTTTGAGCATTGTTCACTGGAACATCTGGATCCGTCCCTAATTTCAAATCCTGTTTGAAATATCGCAAAAACGAGCTGATCGAACATCGATGTCTGCAAAACAAAATTCCGCCGCGCACACCGTGAAGTTTACTCCTGTGATGCATTCAAGCGCTTTTTCCAGTCTCGTAGTTTTAGACCTTCTTGGTGTCCTACCAGACCCCGCCTTTCACCCGATTACATGCAGAATGTTTGGAAAATATTGCCAAAATGTTAGAAATAGATCTCCATCCAATTAAGTGCAGTCTTTTATTGAATTTTATTTGTTCTGTTAAAAATTGATGATAGGTTTGACATGGGAGGAATAGAGAATAAAGTACTGTAATAGGAGCTTCTCAACACAATTAATATAGGGATATAGTGAAAAGGCTTTTTATTTACTTTAGCCATTTGAAACTTCCTGTGGAAATGGCTTGAGAGTTTCCTGGTGGCAGATAGTGTTTATCTTTCCTGAACACCCCAAGGCCTCCTGAAATAAAGCGGACCTGTCAGTCCAAGGAAGTACATAGGGAAGTGGAACGATAAGAGCCATAGGTTCCTGTTTCTCTCTTGCTCAGCAGCATTGCATAGACTTGTGTGCACACTTATGCGCACATTTAGCAACAAATAAACACAGAAAACCTTAACCTGCATACTTAGTAACACATCTAACCCCACTTCGCACGCTCACACAACTGCAAGATCTAGTGCACATACACTGCTTGGTTCCACCAGGTATTTCAACCACTATTAATGTGTGTCTCTCCCTCAGATTCAACTTGCATCAGGAGACATTTGCTGTTTTTCTGATGTGTCATGTAACAGTTGATTTTTCGCATGAGTGTGTGTATGAGTGTGTGTATGTCACTTTGTATTCATGGGATTAAATACAAGTCACAAAATGGATTTAAATATATTTAGGGCAAGTCTAGCTTATGTGTTCGAGGAAAACTCTGTTCTTACCGTTTGTAAATAAAATTGTGATGATTTAATAGTTAAAACAAATATTTAACATCTTTTCCCCTGCTCAAGAATGACAAAAGCCTGAAACCTGGTAAAATATATTAAGTGTGTGTATTCACTGTAGTTACTATAATGAAAATGTACAAGAAGTGCACAACTACAAAGTGTTGTGCATGTGAGCACTCAAGAAAAGGTCATAAATTCATCATGTTCCTAAAGAGTAATGGATTATAAGATTGGGATTTGTGGTGTTTGCATGTGTTTTGCCGAAATAAGTTGCAGTGACTTTTCAGCAGTGTTGTGAAATTCTGTCTTATCCTGGATGCTACTGCCTATTAAGGAAAGACTGAACTGGTTTATTTTAATCAAACAAAACACAATATGCGGTTTCAAAATGACAAGAAATGTAACACAAGGTAATCAGGTTAGATTTTACAAGGCACTCTCTTTACATCCTCTTGTGGCAGAATTGTTCTGCTGATACTGAGGTTAGATGTTTCATTATGAATTATATCTCAGTCTACATTTCACTCTTAGGTTCTAAAGGGCCCAAAGGGAAATTTATCTAAATAGATAAATGAACTGAAGTGGCTATAGTGAGTTAAATATGTTTTCTTTTTTAAAATATGGCCTTCTGTGCAAAAGTCAATAATACATCTAAAATTGTTAATACACCAGGAAGTAGAAAGAAGTAAATAAATCGCGTAGCACCAATAGAAAATTACTTCTTTAGTTGAACAAAAAAATGAACTTTATTTTGAAGCTGCCTAAAGGCGCTTTAGGTGTCTTATTTTGAAGTCTCTGGGCGACCTCTTCTCGGAAGTCTGCTCCATCGTTTGTCCCACGTCCAGTGTTGTGTGTGTCGCTTGTCGAGGTGTCTCATGAGCACCTCGGTTTATCAGTTTGAATAAAAGGTTCCACCTTGTTTTTATGTAAATTGATATCAGACAGAGAGGAACAATGCAGACCCTGACCCCGCATGTTTACTGGGCTCAGCGTCATGGAGAGATTTATCTCCGGGTGGAGTTGAGCGATGCTAAGGTAGGACAGTCCACAACATCCAGCTAGCTGCTTTTCAGCTTAAACTTACACAGCATTGTCATGTACTGCGCAAATAACGAGTTTAAATGCCTCTAAACTTTATTTTCTTAGTAGCAATAACAATATAAACTTAGGCTTAGCTCACGTCTGTATGGCTACAGCGCGTACAGTTAGCCCGCTAGCTAAGTGCTGATGTAGCTTCAGACCCCTTAACATTCATTTATGATGCCCTAAAGAAAACAGACAACCTAAATATACATTTGTCTCGTGGACTCTGGGGACAGTAAGTGGACTCTGTCTAAGAGGAGCATCAGGATTAATTTAGAGTTCAGTGTCTTGCCCAGGTGAACAGGAAGCTTGGGGGTTGAACCACCAACCTTGTGATTAGTCGACAGTAAACTGTACCTTTGAAACCACAGCCAGCTTCACACCCAAGCTCAGTGTACTTGAGCAAATACTTAAACAAACACTCTTAATCTGGATTTTATATCACTATCAGAACAAGGTATGTAAGTTATCAAGCACTGCTCCATACCAAATATAAATGTAGGTGTTAATGTTCTGTGTTAGTCCTGTGTTAGGAATTATTTGTTTTTTGGATTGTTTCTCTTAATGTCATCACTGAACCTGTCACTTGTTTAATTTTGTGACAGTATGTTTGCATTAATCAAGAAATACAGACTCTTGCCTTCTCCTCATCAGCATTTCCTGTTTCAGAGTTCCCATTTCTCATCCTGCATCTGACAGATGTCCTATAAAACATGCATGACATTTAATGGTAGCTCTGGATCTTGTTCAGCCTCTTTGGAAAAGGGCTTAATGATTACTGAACAAAAAACCTGCTATGATACACACGTTAGCCTGATTTATGACAATGAGGGTAGACTAAATATATATTTTAAAAAAACTCCTCCCCAGTATAATTTTGTCCAGTTCATTAGCACCACATTACAGCCTCTAAATGGCCTTAAAGTTGAATTAACACATTGCTAAAACAGTTAACTGAACATTAACATAAACTGAACATTATCATCTTCACAAGGGTAGGATTTATTGTAGGGCTGTAGTTACTGCATTAGATTTAGCTAGATGTACCTACAGACTTTGAAGGATAAGTTTGTTGGTATTCTACATTTTTCCAGACCAAACCCAACAATAAATCAACAAGTATTGTCTGTGTAGCCAAAACTTGATATATCTTATTAATCTGTGCCACGGAGCTCTGTTGTAAAAACTATTGGAAGACATGAGTGAGTTATTCATGGAACTGGTTGACATTTGTTAATATGAATTTTAAAAAGTCTTTTTGTGAGCGTGATTTAGATCCCTGTGTGAACTCAGTCAATGATTCTGCCATGTCTGCATTAACAGGACACGACGCCTTGCATCAAACCAGACACTCCCTTTTCCTTGCTAAGCTGCACTAACCAATAACAGGAATGTGTTACAACACAGAAGAAGACTGATTTAAAAATAAATCCAACATGTTTGACATTATGAAAGATATTCAGTGCCCTCCTGCAACTATTTTTCCAACGTTGCGCTGCCTGCCCTATACATTTAGCACTGAATAGCAGAAATTAATTACTTTGTGGTTATTAGTTGCACTTGTTGGTTAACGCAGCTTAGTGAGGAAAAAGGGAGCACTTAGTTTGAGGCAAGGGATCTCCCTGCTAATGCAAGCAAGGCAGAATTATTGTCACATGAGACTAAGATTGCATAGGGATCTAAATCACACTCACAAAATGATTTATCCCGCAGCCCTAAATTTATTTAATCTCATGTACATGTTTCCTGCTGCTGTAAATACTCAAAAGAGCACCAAATGTGTGTTCATTCCTCCAGCCTGGGTCTACGGTGCCCAGGTTTTCAGGAATTAGCAAATTTCAAGGTTTTGGTCTTCAGTAGGAACCAGTGGGCTTCTGGCTAAAAGCCACAGACAATGTAGGGAGCCGAAAACTTGAACTAACACACTGGTGGTTGGATGGAATTTCATGACATTAAGAAAATGTAGACTGTCACCAGACTTTTCTTTAATTTCCGCCACATAGTATGTCAGTTGTGCACGCCAGTGGAAAGTTGGTTTTGATATCTGTTTTTGTGTTTTTCAGAACATTGACATCAGACTCCAAGAAAACAACACACTTAAGTTCAGAGGTTGGTTTTTAAGATCGTGCAAGCAAGAATAATATGTTGTAGACAAGAACTCTGTAAGAGAAATTACTCGGCTCTGCAGTCATAGCAGTGTTGTAGTATCTGAGTCTAGGACTCGAGTCTAGATTTGCAGGACTCCTGACTTGACTTGGACTTGAACACTGACTGCATTTGGGATTGGAAATTAGAGATGAGGACTCTTTTTCTGTAATAGGCCATAATAATCTGGCGCAAGATATTGATGTTAAAACCTGTTCATCCACACCGTGCTGTATCTGACACACCTCCGCAGAGGCGTACACTCTGCCTTTCTATAAATGATTTTTATGTATCGAATTGGTGATACAATATACTGTTAGAAAGTTTGGAATAGAAAATGGTGAAAATGTTCAAATTATTCTTTGGTGATTTGGTCTTGGCTTTGACTCGAGACTCAACTCTGACTCGAGGTTTAGTGACTCAGCCACAACACTGAATCACTTTATCAGAGATGTTCCACAAACTGCCAACAACTCTCACATTGTTTTTGAGGTCTGTTATGAAAGCTGTTTCAGCATGAAATACATTATTAAGTACAGTTTTATTATGATGTAAAATCTAATCTTAATATTGTTCCACAGCACAGGGCCATGGAGCTAAAGGAGAAAATGAATATGAGTTCAGTTTGGAGTTCCTGGAACCAGTTAGACCTGAGGTATTGATCTTGTATTCATCTTTTACTAATTAATGATGAAACTGTATTATTTACATTTTCAAAAAAAAGTCTAATTACTGATTCTGTTTTCCTACATTATCTGATATAGTATTAATTTACCTCTTTTGTGTACTTGCAATTTTTATTCTGTATGATCTCTTACTGGGTGTAAATGTCAGGCACGGTTGATTAACAGATATTAATGTTGTCATCCTACAACTTCCATCTTTACTGTAGGACAAAGGAAAACAAATTAATAGCATTTAATTTGAAGTGGAGTAAGGACCTACCACATTATTGTCAAGTTTTTAACATATTCCGCTAAGATTAAGCTTTTTGCACAGTCCATATGTTTTACTCTTGTTCAGATGAAAAATCCAGTTTTATCATAACTGGAATACATCAACGATTGCTATTTGCACTTCACGGCTCCCATGTAGCATATAGTCTCTCTACATTATATTGTGTTCTTGTTGTATTTTTATTGTGCATTCATGTGGACGGCAAAGTAAGAATTTCATTGTACAGGGAAACATGTTTCCTAACTGTGCATATGACATATAAACACTTTGACCTTTGACTGAAAAAGTCCTCCTTGTTAGCACGTTACAGCCTGGGATAATCAATCACATGTATTCATTTGAGAAAGAGCAGCATTTGTTTTTTTCCCACCCCCTTAACTAAATGCACTTAGATGTAGTTTTCTAAATGTAGGGCTTGGCAGAGTGATTTAATTAAGAACATGAGATGCCTGCTGGTGCTCATTAGTTATACAGGTCACGTACAATAGTTGTGCGTCCTTTTAACCGCCCAAAGTTGTTCACAGTCAGGAGTTAATTGCAGCCTTCATGTACTGTATGAACTATGCAGAACAACTAATCTCATACAACAGCTACTCACACTATTTCATTGCTTTATGCGTGTTTCAGGTAAAAGAAAACCATCTAATTTCCTAATACTGTGTGCACGTGTGTGTGTGTGTTTCAATCATGGTGGCCTTCAGATCAACCATAAGTCCACCCAGCGTCAGCTGGACATCAAGATAAAGAAGCAGGAGGAGTGCTGGTGGGACCGACTGACGCTGCAGGAGAAGAAGCCTCTGTTTCTGGCCCCTGACTTCGACCGCTGGCTGGACGAGTCCGATGCTGAGATGGAGCTTCAGGCTAAGGTAGGGAACTTACAAAACACAAACAAGTAAAACGCTCACTCTGCACAGAGAATAAAATGTTTGCCTATCCAAAGTTTTTTGACTGTTAATGCCAACCTGGCATGAGTTTAAGAAGGTTAATGACTTCAAAATGTTGTATTTTTGGGTGCAAACAGGATTTATGGGATTAGTACAGTCTGAGTTGGGATAGCTGAGGTCTGGATGAAGCTTTTTTAGCCTCAGGCTCTCTTGCTTTGGCTTGGAAAGGAAATATAGAACTTTGCTTTTTTTGATACTCGGTGTGGGACAGGTGTAATTCCAGATAAGACACCTGACAGTCCTCTTCTTCACTGGCATGTTAAACTGAACCAGTATGAAATAAAAGTGAGTTGAGAAGGTGTTTGCAGCATGGCGTCACGTCCACTCCTCATCTGGTTCAGCTTGTAGCTCCTGGACTCGAATGTATGTTCATGGATTGTTTTTTTTTTTCTTTTTTTTTTTAACTTTTCTGATGCTTTAGAAAAACGTATGTCCAGTAAAGAGTCTGCTGCAAAAAGACCATTATCAGTGACCTGTTACAAAACTCCTCATCTGGTTCAGCTTGTAGCTCCTGGACTCGAATGTATGTTCATGGATTGTTTTTTTTCTCTTTTTTTTTTAAACTAAAGTCTTCGAGCAAAAACCGCTGATTTATCAAGGCTACTATTGTTTTGGTTATTTCTGTCAATCCCATCACTTCTTTTTGGCTATTATTTGTTTTTTATTTTTAATTTGTGCTAACTCAGATTTGTTAAAATGTATTAAAGAACACAAAATACTGTTTTTGATGCTGTTGTTTAGTTATTTTTCACCACTGTAAATTAGCTTTTTTATTCTGTTAATTTTCCTGCATGTGATCAGTAAAATTTCTTATACTTTTGTTTAATCAATTTTAGCTGTAAAAAAAACTGTGCTTGAAAAAGTGTAGTTGTTTTCTCTGTGTAAATTCACATATTGCTGTAAAAAGTATATTTGGTTTTTAAAACGTGTGAATTTAGAATTTTGTTTGTCAATGTTTTCCTTAAACAAAAGTGAGGAAAACATTTTCCAGACCATTACTTTTAATTTAGAGCACCAAACAAAATAAAGTTGGCAAGCTGTTTTAGAACTAATGAGGAACATGACAGACCATATTTTATTTAGTCACTTGTCAATTCAGAGTAATTGAAGTAAGTAAAGATGTTTGTACATGCAAAGTTTGATTTGTTGGTGTGATTTGTTTCAGGAGGAGGAGAAGAAGATAAACAAAATAAGCGTGGAGTCAAGAGTTCGTAAGGACCGTGAGTCATACTGAGCTCTTCACAAGCAAATATTCAAAACCAACCATAAAACCCTCTTACAGGGCTTCAGATTTTCTAATAGGATGTAATTATGCCTTTTGTCCTGTAGGAGGAGTTTGCAGGTGTGTAATTAGTATAGCGGACTTCAGTTGTTCTCTCCTGTTTCCTCAGCCTACCTCGGTCTGAAGAAAGGCTATTTGTTCATGTACAACCTGGTGCAGTTCTTGGGATTCTCCTGGATCTTTGTCATCATGACTGTCCGACTATGGATTCTTGGTCAAGGTCTGTAACAAAAGCCAGTTTCTGAAGTGAGGTTTAAGTCATCTACTGACTTTATCTTATTGATGTCTCCGTGTTTCCAGAATGCAGCAGTTAATTTGTACAGTACAGTGTTATCATAACTGAGAGAACAGATGACCAAAACTATGAAGACAAGAACCTCAGTTGTGACTGGGTTCTCATTTTGGACCATAAGTGTGGGTTTGTGTGTTTTACTTTTACCTACTGTACCAATTATGTATTCATAATATCATTTTCAAAAACATACCAAATGTTTCAGGATTAATTTCCAACCTTCCAGGCAGCTTCTGTTTTCATTTTTTTTTCAGTGTGCCATAAAAATTTGCTTACAGAGACATGAAACCTGCAGGAGATAAGTAATGCACCACGGTTTATATTTAGTCAACCTATTGTCGGATACATTGCTCGTGTGCTTTATTCAATACATCACACAGGTCACAAAGTGAAAAGAAAAACACTCACAGTGAAACAGTGGAGTAAAAACAGAAACCCTGTGGAGGGATGGACAAAGTAAAGACAAAAGGAGGAATTAAAATTAAGAGCTTTTGAATTTCATGGACACAGTTAATTAGCGGACACCAGTGTTTTGGTGAGTGTAAATGAATCACAAAAACAGAAAGGAGATGAACAGAATTAGCACGTGCAGTAAAATAACAAACAGAAGGTCCTGAAAACGGAGAGGTCTGTTTTTTTCTATGAGGAGCTGTTCATAGAGGAGCTTATTTGAATTGAAACAGGAACACGACTACACAGCAGGGATTTGTTTTACAAATGATGAGGATTATGTGGTGTTTAATTATGTCTGTTCTCTCCCCTCTTTTCTCTCACCCTCCACAGATTCGTTTTATGATACCTTCCAAACCACAGCTGATATTATGTATTTCTGTCAGATGATGGCTGTGCTCGAGGTCATTAATCCCTTGCTGGGTTTGGTTAAGACTGGATTTTTTCCTGCTATGATACAGGTAGCAAAAAGAACAGTCATTCCTCATTTTATTGTGATTAATACCTCTTCTACCTTGAAGACTAAAACTCCAGCAAAACCTAACATTGTGGTCATTAAAAAGTACAAAAATACATTTACTGTGAAAATCATATCTACAGTATAATTAACACGGCAGCCAATGGGGTATTCACACATACACTATGAAAGTATGTGGCCATCTAAATGTACCTAAACACCATCTTGTTACAAAGCCATGAACTCCTATAACAGCCTCCACTCTTCAGACTTGAGGCTTTCCACCACAGTGTGGAACCTGGCTACAGGGATTTGCTCCCATTCAGCCATAAGAACATCTGGGGGGCCAGCTGCTACTGCTAGGCAGTAATGCTCGATTGGCATCGCTTGGCATCCCAGGTGCTGGATGGACTAGAGGTTGAGGCTCTGTGGTGCCCATTCAGGTTTTTCTCCACGCTAAACGTGCAGACTACATGCTTTGTGCATGGAGACATTGTCATGTTGTGCTATTAAGATTTAGCCGTAGAACTACGGGGCCTAGAGTAGCTCTTACTGTGAAAACCACCTCAGACAAAACAGCACACTAGACTGACATGATTTTTACACAAGTCAGTTGAAGATACTAAAACGGTACGGTGCCTGCTTGTGGTGTAGAAACTAATTTATAGTTCAGCATCAGGTTTCACCCGGTGACTTTCACAACATTCCAACAACACTAGATAGATAGAAGGTGTCTGTCAGGCTACACTGTGTATTTATTATAATGTAAAATAATGTTCACAGTCTTTGACTCACTTTGTGGCAGAGGGAGACAGTTGTGTTGAGCAATAGGTTTGCAATAGAATTGGCTTTGCTAAATTTGAAGATACTGTATGTGTAGCGTTACTGTACTGTATTTTTTTCTTCAACTCACTTAACCATTTCCACCAGCATTAGAAACACGAAGGAGAAAACATGAGCAGCCCAAAGTGACCTAACTACCGCATAAGTGGAAAAAAAAGGTTAATAAAGCCGTTCATGGCTTCAGAGGGAGCTGTGTGAAGTGGTCTGAATAGTTTGATTAGAACAAAAATCTCCCTCCAACATGGCTCTGAACTGAACTTGAAATGATGCCATTGCATGAAAAAATCAAGTAGCGGTGTGCGTTCTTTCAGAGTCAAAGGTCAAAGTGTTTATTTGTCATATGCACAGTTAGGAAACGTCTTTCCCTGTACAATAAAATTCTTACTTTGCCGTCCACATGAGTGCCACAAAATACAAATGAAATATAACGTAGATGAATAAGTGACACAAAATCTAAGGCACTTTAAGCAGCAAATACAGAGATATAATAAGAATATAATAAGAGAATGTATGCTGCATGGGAGCAGCATGTGCAGCAGTCAACAGTCAATGTGCAATTATGCATGTGCAAACTGAGAATGTAAACAGTACAGGTCGACAGTACATGACGTATTTCCTGGTAGTGACGTTAATCTGAGGTCTCCTGTTCTGCTCTGTCACGTTGCAGGTGGCAGGGAGGAACACCATTCTGTTTGTTATCTTTGGGAGCCTGGAGGAGATGCAGAACAAGCCTGTTGTCTTCTTTGTCTTCTTTCTGTGGAGCACTATTGATATCTTCAGGTCAGCTCAGATCACCTTCCTCCACTCTCTGGCAAACTTGTATTGTTGCCTTCTGTAACATGGTACCTTCCTTCTCTCACACCAGGTACCCGTTTTACATGCTGGCCTGCATCGGCATGGAGTGGAAGCTGTTAACGTGGCTGAGGTACAACCTCTGGATCCCTCTGTACCCTCTGGGGGTTGTGGCTGAAGGTCAGTGACAGCAACTAGGTGGTTGTATTTAATGGTACATGAAAGTCGATGTTAGTCATTGTTAACTGTTTCTGATAGTGTGTCATACTTGGCATGTTCCCAGCGGTGGCAGTGATCCAGTCCCTGCCCATCTTTGATGAGACCAGTCTGTTCAGCCTCCCTCTCCCCACAGTGCTGGGAGGCTCTTTGAGCTTCTCCTATGTTCTGCAGCTCTACCTGGTCCTGATGTTCCTGGGTGAGACATCACACACCAGCATCTGCTCCGATTGACGTTCCATGTCAAACATATTCAATTAAATCTAACAATACACCCATATCTGTACATCTTAATATGCCAACTTATACTTTATAAATCTCAGGGTGCTGGCCTGCCTGCTGGTGTGTTGCTGAGTTTTGTTCATTTTCAGTGGAGATGAATCCATAAATCTGGTCCAGTTTTCTTCCAAAAACAGGCAACATTACTTGACATTGTTGGCAGAGACATGATATCACTGAAATGCAGTGCTGCGTGTTAGTGTGATAGGTCAGGTAGGAAGCTGAGCTAAGCTCTGTTCACATTACACTCCACAACAGGGATTCTGAGCATGCGCTCAGGAGTGAGACATTAAATAAACAACATGAATTCTGATCCCACCGTACTGACACCGGTCATCAGAGATGAGGTATAAATCACATCTAGGGATTTGTCGAAATCCAATTTGGTTTGTTTACATTTCTGTGATAAGATTAGATCTGAGTCACTTGGAGGAACAAAAAAATCAGGTTTGAGTAACTTCAGCAGGTAATGTGAGCATAAATCTATTTCAGAGACATTTTGGGCAGCAAGATGTTGGTCCAGGCTTTAGGTTTGGAGGTTAAGGGCAGGTGTTACACAAAATGAATGTTTATTATCCCATTTGGCCTTTCACATTTTTTCACAGTATCCTTAAGTTTGAATTAAATAATGAACACTGATCTTAGTTTTTAAAAGGTTAATAATCTTGCGGTTTGTGATGTCTATCCTCACATTGTTAAGGAAAAATAAAGTTAATGAGTGCAATGTACTGAGGAAGGCTTTGTCCACTGTATGACACCAACATTGGAAGAATATACACATTGCTGAAAAAAAAAAACCCAAACATTTTGGTTTGTTGGTCTGCAGAGATGAGAAACTGCTCCTTCAGCCACGCAAATGAGACAAAGATGACAACCGATGTCAGTACTTTCTACTGACAGAGGTTCTCTCTCCTCCACAGGACTCTTCATCAATTTCCAACACCTGTACAAGCAGAGGAGAAGAAGATACCACTTGAAGAAAAGGAAAGTCCACTAACTGATCAGCGTGTTTACTTTGTACACACCCTGAACTGCAGAACACTTAATCATAATAGAGGTTTTCTTACTGCCTTTTCTCCTATGCCTTTACACACACACACCGACCTGGTGTTGGGGGTCGCTTTATTCATGCACTGGGGGAGCCATTAACCTTCTCCAAACCAAATCCTGTAAACCCTGCTGCACCAACTCGATGACCCGCCTGAAAACACTGCACAGGTTTACCACAGTGCTGCTGTGAGGTTTAGTATGTTTATTCTGTTAGAAGTCACTCTCTGAGGTTGGATGCACATTTTGTTTATGCTACAATAGAGAGAAGTGTTTTTTTACAGTTCATAAGATTGAAAATAAATAATAACACTAATGTTAATATTTTAACACACCTGTCCAATATGAATTTTTGCATCAACGATATCAGAAACTATTGGAGTATTTTCATTTATCATTGGAAATACAGAAGCACTTGTTAACATGTACCGCTTGGCAGGATCCCCCATAATGCCCCTCTGGGCGGGATGTATTTAGTTGGAGTTGGTGGGGATTGTTCGGTGTTCTGTTGGTGTGTGTGTGTGTGTGTGTGTGTGTGTGTGTAATAATAAAACAGCGGTTTCCCGGTCTCGGGAGAGCGCAGAAAAAGGCTACTTCTGTTTCCAGCTCCTTACTCGAGCAAACCTACGTTTCGGTTTTTATTACAAACATATTAACTTGATAAAACTCGTATGTAGAGTTCAGAAAAAGTTAGTTAACGAATATGTATTATTTGTACAAATGCCGAATGTGTTAATTTTTTTTCCACTTAATATTTTTTCGATTTCACATACTTGTTCATCTCATTATCTGTGTAACGTCACCAAACTCTGGTATGCTATGCTCACTGTCGCGCGCCAAGCCACGCGCACCGGTGTTTTCACTTTGCCTAATCAGACCTTTTCTGTTTGGGCGGGCACATTGTTTGATTGACTCCTTCCTCACTCGCTAGTTATTCTTGTTTTAGCCCATCTGTTAAGTGGGACAACTTGGACATTTACCATCCTTATTGGGACAGTTGGTGACCCACAAAGATAATCCCAGCCTGTCTCTATCTAATCGGCCAGTATACGTGAAAACACCTGCGTGAGTGAACAGCAGACTGGAACTGGATGTTTAAAAAAAGAATTGGATAGTTTTTAGTGTGATAAAATTCTGTTTTTTGCTATCATTGTTTAGCCAATTTTTCATCTGTCTCAGCCCAACCTCACTAAAATGTGCATTAAATTTAAGAACTGACGTATTGAATTTCACTGTGTGAAAGAAAGTTTTCAGACTGAATATTGTACACCATGCAATAATAAACCATATTTGCATTGTGGATTTGTTCATGTGTGAACGTGAAACTTTACATTTTAGTGTAAATATACGTTCAAGTGTGACATGCTAAGGCAAAAAGTACTTGTCTTTGGCATGCACTTATAAATTACAATTTGCTGTTTTACCAGAGGGACAAAATTAATTTTTCCACTCCTAACACTAGGCTTCACTCGACCACACCCAAGATAAGGGCCAGACTCCTCCCGTCAGCCTCGGCACATCTGATTATTCTGCCTTCAACAGGCTCAGCGCTCGAAACAGCTGGCGAGGTTTTGCGTCAAACTAGCAGCTACGACCCGCACCGCTGTTTGCATGTTGGTGTATTGTTAAAGCGTAAAAAGTGGAAAGGGAAGGCGAGAGGTGTTCGTCTCCTAATCCTCTTAGTAGCATTATGCTGAGCCTAGCTGAAGCCCTGACATGCGGTGCGCCCTTGTAACCCCCCAAAACCGGAGTCAGCTTCTTTGCGTCCATTACGCACAGCTGGAGGGACTGTCCGCAGCGCAGAGGGGCTGAGCGGCCGGAGGTACAGGTAGGACCAGCACCACCGCTGACTGCCCACAGATGCTTTTAGGATTTTATCGTCTGTTGTTATTTGTGGATGGTGAGGAGATGTGGATTAACGGTTTGCATCGACCTTGCATTATAATCCGCACGGGCCTTTATTACTCCATAAATAATCCCCAACACGCCATATTTTATAACAGGTTTAGTTGGTTTTATTAACGTAACGTTACTGTATCTTAATGCACGATGGACAAGCGTAATTGATGTTTAATGAATTATCATTTAGGGTACGCGCGCATTTGATTTCTTTGCATGCGCTGTAATTTAGACATTCGCGTTATTTTAAGGCAAGTCTGAATTTTCTTGTCGTTTTAACCTGTTTAACGTGTTTTCAGTAGACTCCTGTTTTGTGAGAAGCCAAAGCCTGTGTGATTATGTAGCCATAGTAACAGGTGGCTGTCTGCATCCCCATCATCCGCCGATACACACTTGTCATTAGATCTGCAACTATGCAGAGACGTTCATGATGTGATTTTTTTCAGCCTTCTTTTCTGTTTTTCTGCCTTTCCACAGGTTGAAACTGCCCACTGTAAAAGATGAAACACAGTATGTACGTGCGTGTTTTCCCTCTGTCAGCGGTGTCTTCTCGCCACATCACAGTGCTGGACCTACCAAGGAATAGCAATGCACCTGACATAGCTTCCTGTTTGGAGTCGAGACCACGGGGACAATGAATGTGCATTCACCTTTGAGGAGGAGACTCAGGCGCAGTCGCATCCTCCTCTTCCTTTCAGGTGTGCTGCTGTGTCTTGTCTACACTCTGACTGAGAAGGCCAGGCTGTCACAGCCAGGAGCCTCCTTGCACACTGATGAGGCTCTCGGAGTAGATGAGGGTGATGACGATGTCCTGGAGATCAACATTAGAGAGGTGATGGCATCCAATAAGACAGAGGAGCAGGCTGTCTCACCTGAGAGTACCAAACCTCCTCTGGTGATTATGGTCAACAGGACAGATATTGAACAGTGTATCTATGTAGATCCTCAGCCTAGCAAACCTCTTCCAACTCCACCACCACTAACCACCACAGCTCTCCCTCGTCCCCCACTCCAGCCCCCTCACAGGAAGGGCGATTACCCTGAGGATATCTTCTCTGTGGAGCAGCGGCGACAAGGCTGGGTGGTCCTGCATGTTATCGGCATGACTTACATGTTTGTTGCCCTGGCCATTGTCTGTGATGAGTTCTTTGTTCCTGCACTGGAGGTCATCACGACCAAGCTAGAAATCTCTGACGACGTGGCTGGGGCCACCTTCATGGCAGCGGGAGGCTCTGCCCCTGAGCTTTTCACCTCCCTGATTGGTGTCTTCATCTCCCACAGCAACGTGGGCATCGGCACCATTGTGGGCTCAGCTGTCTTCAACATCCTGTTTGTGATTGGCATGTGTGCCATCTTCTCCCCGAGACGTGACCTTCTACATCCTGGACCTCACCATGCTCATCGTCTTCTTCCTGGACAACATGATCCTGTGGTGGGAGAGCATCTCTCTGGTTCTGGGCTACATCAGCTACGTGAGCTTCATGAAGTTTAACAGTCCGATTGAGCAGAAGGTCAAGACCCAACTCAACAAGCACATGAGCACTGTCAAGGTGTGGACCACAGAGGAGCCGGAGAAGGTCAGTTGTTGTCACATTTGAACACATCAGGGGGAAAAGTAGTTTAGAGACAAGTGTTCTGGTTAAACTTATTTCCAGGAGGCATGTGTTTACACTGAGGAAAACAAGCTTCTGTCAGTGTTTCTAATAATCTGAATCCATAAAAATTTACAAATGTTAAATACAGAATCAGAATCAATTAATCTGGCCGTGGTGTATATTTTTCTCACTGTCAGCATATCTCTTGAAAACCAACAGCGAGTATTGTCTCTCTCTACAAGGCCTGATATCCTTTAGTTCTCTGTGCCGTAGAGCTTATTAACACATCAGTGAGCCACAGTGTTGGACTGGGTGACACAATCCTTCATTGCCATGACACACACTGCAGTTTATTTTGACTCAGTCCCACAAACACGTCTTGCTGCCACAAATACTCACTAGAGTACCAAATGTGGATTAATTCACCCTGAAAATAGTCCCCAGCAAATGCAATATTCCTGTTTGAATTTGGTTTGCAAAAAACTACAGTCCAGCTGTTTTGGAACATTACCCTTAACTTTAAATAACTGAAGTGTCGAATTAACTATCAGGTGTAAGGTGCTGTTGTGCAACCACATCAAAGAGGAAACTACTCAGAACTGACAGGAAATGGACACTACCAACCAGATGTCTCTGCAGAGACATTACTAGACCGAGTTCTGTCTCTGCAGAGTATATTTTCATCTTTCATCTCTTCACAGTTGGGTTGTTGTTGTCTGCTCACGTAGAGTAAAAGAGGGCCAGTGATTTGTGGGTCTGAGCAGGTGACAGCCTGTATCTGTGTAAAATCCTTTGATGCTGGAAAGAAAGGACGCCAGGTGTCACAGACAATGTCACATGGATGAAGTGATGGAAATGTTAGGTTTGCGTCATAGCCCTGAAATATGACGATGTGAAAGTCATTCATTTGAAGAAAACCCAGAACAAATCAATAATGTTTTTTTTGTTTGTTTTTTTTAATAGCAGACCGCCTGCAGGCTAAATGGCTCTGCTGACAGAGTGCAGTAAATTCTAAGCCTGTGATTAACATGCAGCACTGCGTTTCCATATTTCAAGCATCACCAGCACACTCTCCAATTAGCCTAAAGCACATCTCCAGTCAGGCTCTGTGTTCTGATTGAAGGCTCACATCTGAATGCTACCACACTCCTTTTACAGGAAATCCATAAAGCATGTTTATTTATGTTCATCAATTAATAACAACTTCCAAAATACAACAGTTCAAGTATTTTTAGTTTTACTGTACCTCTTTAAAAATGTGCTCAGTGAAGATGACTTGTAAGAACCTGTTGCCTATACCAGATACACTCAAGACAGGAACATGTTGCAGAGATAATGGGCCCATGCAGGAATCACAATTATGAACAGATTTCTTATTAAATAGTACATACCAACTACTTGAAAATAGCATTCTTTCTGTACTTTTCTCTTCAGTACAGTATGATTGAAATTCAACAGTTGTCCACACCTCTCATAGGAGCCATGTACAGAGATACCCCAGCTAAGAATTTTTTGTTCCAAGAACAACTGTACAGTGTCAAGGGTGCAAGTAATGATTCACATAAAATAAGAAAGCAAAATGGTTGCAGAAAACGGGAGCACTAATGACGGTATGCAGCGCATGCTTATTTTGTGAGTTTTGCACATCTTGAGCAGTCAAGCACACCCTCGTTTGGTCTGAGCACGTTAGCTACAGCTTTTCTGCAACTAATGATTTTTTATTCTGCTGTTTATTTTCTTGATGAATCATTTAGTCTATAAAATGTCACAATACTCCAGAAACCCAAGGTAATATCTGACCAGCAGTCCAAAACAGAATAATATACCAGTTATTAAAAAGGAGATTATCAAAATAGTTCCAATTACTTAAGTCGTCATTGCAGCTCAGTATAATGTAGGTGAAACACTAGCCTCATACAGTTGAGTATAAGGTGAATGACGGAGCTCAACAACAGACTAGGTCTAAAGGCAGGTGACAGAGTCACACCCAGGGGAAAGACTGAACTGCTGGACCTGTGTTTACCACCCCTTTTTGTGCACTGTGTGTGGTCTTCATATATACCAGTGTACTACACATGCCTCAGTCTGTGCAACACTGTATGGTAATTTGCTCAAACACAATTTCAGAAAAAGCCACAGTATCAGCAGAGATCCAGGTGTTAAATCTAGATTTTAACATAGGACCTCAGGATGAGATACACGCTTGATGTGGATATACTGTACCAACCTATGGATAGATTACTGAATGGGGCCGCTGGGCCCAGGCCCAGGGGCCACCAAGTGTCAGGGGGCCTCCTGGGATTTTTATGTAAAACATGCATTGAAGACAAAGAGACAAAACAACTGCATAGAGACTTGAATGCCCTTGACAGTCAACACATTTGATCTTGGTTTCGAGTGAGTTTCAGACAAATCTCAGCCGTGGGGATTAATGGGGGTCAGATCCAAGAGCCAGTACTGTTTTGGATTCACTGCCAAGTTTGTAATATACCTTGATTAGTTTAGCAAATAATAAATTCCTTATTGAATCAGTCATTCACACTCTGTTGCCTCTTGGCAAGATTAACACAGTCAACCATGCCAATTCAGCAACACTGTTGTAAACAAACAATGAAACGTGTCTTTTTTTACACAAAAAAGGTTTAAAATTGTTTTGTCACATGGCTGAGTAAAATAAAAATGATTTAATAGATTCCGTATCGGATTTGGGTTTGATAAGTGGATTCAGATTTGATGGATTGTGGTTAAGGCGCAGTGCCCTCGCCGCTGTGGTCCGGGTTCAAGTCAGGGTTGCGTCAGGAATGGCATCCGGCGTAAAACACGTGCCAAATGTCAAGATGTGAATCGTCACACTGACGCTTTGCATGTGGCGACCCCTAACAGGAAAAAGCCGAAAGTGACATTCATTCAAGTGGATTCAGATTTGGTCAAATGCTGTCGAACCCTATCCCTACACATACACAAGCATTCGTATGCTAGGAAGTGTATGCTCATGAACTAATTACCAAAGGTGGTGTTAACTAAGTTGTCACTGACTTTACAGGAGAATGAAGCTCTCCCACCTCCTCCTCCTCCTCCTGCTGCGCCTCCTGCTGCTCCTCCTACTGCACCTCCTGTACCAAAAGCTGAGGAGAAGTCCAAACTGGAGGATGAATCACTTCCAAGCATCCCTCAGTGCAACAAACTGCCATCAGACCCACAAGAGGACAAGGCAAGACTCAGGGTATGAAAACCTAAATGCTTTTATTGTTGGTGTGGACTGGACTTAGCCTGACTAGTATTTCCATTGACTACTTATAAGTGCTAATTTGATTTATTCTTGAGTTGCTAAGTTTGTAAATTAATTCTTAATGAAACCTAACCAGAAAAGACAACCGTTGATGTTTTATCATCTGTAGCAAGCTATCTAGCAGTTAAGCTATTGTTCTCCACATAAATTGTTTAGGTTTAAAAAAAAGTCCAGGAAACTCATTTTACAATGAGGACTCTTCGATATACAGCTAACGGGTACATATCTGATATGTTAGAAGACTGATGAAAATGCCAACAGGTTCCTGGCAGAAATTCAACATTGTAACAAGTGAATGATTCTTGTAAAAGACAAGGAAATAAAGAAACAGCATCTGTCTTGTATTGGACTGTATAGCTAGTTAGTCCTAGTGTTGGTGTGATTAAGGATACGCTAAAAAGTAAGATCATACTGTTTTTTCATTATGTGACTTTTGGCCGCTTATATATCTGTTTGAATTTTTCAAACATTGGTGTCACAACCGATGTGTTTGGCATTCATACCGTGGCTGGGGATGCTGCAGGACAGAGCCAGTATTACCCTAAACCAGGGGTGGCCAATTCCAGTCCTTGAGGGCCGCTGTCCTGCTTGTTGTCCAACTATCCCTGCCTGGAACACACCTGAGCCAGGTAATCAACAGCAGGTCAGGCAGGGATAGTTGGACAACAAGCAGGACAGCGGCCCTCAAGGACTGGAATTGGCCACCCCTGGTAGCATCATCCAGAACCCAATGCAGCAAAACAGTTTTTTTCATAACACCATAAATTACACATATGCACTTTTTTTTCTTGTGATTTCTTCCACTGAAAACAGAGTAATGCAGTGGGAAAACTGGTCTAAAAAGCAGCACAGTAATGAACAATAAGTTGTAAATGTGGCAAAACAAGAAGAAAGTGATCAATTAATTCAGTTTAACACAATGAACATTTGTGAGCAGGCTGCATCACTTTCATTTGAACCTGCGTTGCATGATTATTTACATGTGGCTCAAACAGATGTTCAGCACCCTGACTGTCCATCTTCCACAGACACTTTCCCTGAACTTGAGCTGACAAACATTATATCCAGGTTGCACTGCACCTCTACCATGCAAATCGTTCACCTCTGCTCTTCTGCTTATGTGAGGGGCATGTTCACGTACTGTGCTACTTTTGATGTCATCTTCTCTGTGCACGCATCTGCTGGGGCAGCTTAAGTATAAAATCCCCTCTGAGGATGTGGCCATTCATGCTGCTGTGGCTCAGCACACAGGAAGATTATAAAAGATTGTAACAGGTCATCAACATGCACCAGCTTGACAGAGTAATAGAGAGGGAGACGGAAGCAATATACAGTAATGATAATAGCCTGTCATGGAGTACTGGGGAGCCATTTGGTGGAGCAGGTCGACCCATACTGTTGGTCAGCTGTGGTAAATCACCATCACATGGTTTATTCATGGTCTCTGTGGAGATGGCCACATGCTGTGTTGTGTCCTCAGGATGGTGGTGTTTCTTCTGGGCCTGCACTGATACAGTATACACTCTGCTGTGATGTGAATAAATGATCAGTGGCATAGTTCAGTCTGATAGCTGTCATGTCAGTAAGACAGAGGTGTTGCCTATCAACTTGGAACGTTTAAACATAAGTGGCACAAAACAGTAAAAGTACTGAGTAAATTTGATCTGCTGCCTCTTTTTAATCTGGCTTTATCTTTGATCTTGGTGCTACATCACACAATCTTAGGAAATATCAGCGACTGAAGTACTTCATTATGTTAGTCAAATATTTTAATATACAACTGAAAAACCACTGAGGTAAAAAAAAAAAACAAAAAAAAAAACAATCCAGTTCTGATGTTAGATGCCATTTTTAGAGAATTTTGTACTTACTATACTGTCAAGTACTGGCCATGAGCTGAAAACGTCTTAATATCAACTAAAATATTTGGACCTCAGATGTCTACACCTGTTCAAATTTACATTACGTGAATGCTAATCCTACAGTTTGATTTCTGATTGTGTCTACTGACCTCTAGGTGCGTCCTGCCCTGCAACGAGGTGGCAGCTTGGCCTCCCTCCACAACACATCTCTGCGGAGCACCATCTTCCAGCTGATGATTCACACACTGGATCCTCTGGGAGAAGGTAACAACTAGAACAGCAATGGTTTTTGCAATAAGATTAAATCTGCAGCCTGGTGGTCAAACTGTTTGGACTAAAACACTGTTGGATTTTATAAAATAAAAATGTTTATATGCTGCTTATAAATGCTAAATAGAGGGACTTATCAATAGAACATCATCAGTTAAACAAACAGTTACTATCAAATCAAAAGCAGCAAATCCCTCTCATCTGAGAAGCTGGCACTTGTGGATGTTTTGCTTGAAAAATTACTGAAATGATTGATCACCTCATTTTCTGCGAACTAGTTGACCAGATGTTCCAAGGTGCAGTGAAGCTGGCAGCGACTCCGCTTTCTCTCGTTCTGTCCGTCCTGTCCCTTCTCCTGAGTCAGGGCAGTGTGATGAACCACAGTGACCTTCAGCCTGTCCTCCAGCTCACCAGGCCACTGTTCCTCGCTCTCTCAGTGCTCGGCCACCGCTGATCCTTAATCGGCTTTTCAGTACAGGCTAATAAAAGCTGGATAAGAGCCAGCGTCCTGGTACACTGAGCTCTTTATCTGGAACTAGTGCAGCGGTGGGACCAGAGCTGAGACCGGCTCCATGCAGCTGGGTTGCACAGGTGTTATTACTGTGGTCAACTGTCAGCATTGTCAGTGTGAGCCTGAGGACATTCAGCTTTCTAATAGCCATCTTGTTTAGATGATGAAGTACAATAGTGTGCTTCTGCGTTTAGACTGACAGGAGAAGAGAAGGCTGATATCATGGGCACAGGGAATTTGTCTGGGTTTGTTGGTCAGGGTTGATTTTAGATTTGACTTTCTACACTATATCAGCATCATTTATCAGTTGCACCTAATGGATCTATTAATGGTCAGTAATTGAATAATGAAGAACAATTTCTGGGTTGCCAGGTTGTGACTAGTTTTCTCATTCTCCAGTGTGAATTCAAAGAGAAATACTGTAGTTTTTACTGTGTTACATTTATTTGACAACTGTAGTTACTGTTACAGATTAAATGGCATACAAGAGTTAAAATTAATGGTAATGCTCTTAAATGTCCCAGTCAAGAGGCAAATACCAGGGCTGAAGGCTGAAGCCCATGTGCAAATGCAACACCACTGACAGCTACTAGATGCAGCAGCAAAATTCCTGGCTCCACCTGAGTCCCATTCAGAAAGCATCTTCTCTCTAGTAATGCCAAGTCGGTAGGTTTTCCCCCAGGAGATATGGTCTCATTTGCTTAATTTGGGCCCTCTGTACTGTAGTCTTGGCTGTTATTGCTTCATTAATAAGATGTTGCAGCTCATAGAGGCCTTTGGTCTGACGTGCAGGTGTTGACTGTTTGCTCACGTGCTGCCCTGTCCAGTTCAGTAGGCAAGCTTTTTGTTTGTGTGTTTGTTTGTTTTTTGTCTAGGATGACACTTCTACTGGGACAGTGGTTAAGGAGTTACACTAAGATCCTCAGAGAGTGCTGTCACTCAGTGGTTTTAAGTTTGACAGTATTTAATTATGGTAGATGGCCTGGCCTAACCTGCATAGTTCAGCTAGCTTTAACATTCAGTATACGCACAGGTGGCTTTTTATTTAATTTGTTTCAATATTAGGTGAGGTTGACATTGTTGATAACAAATACAACTCGGTCTTGTTTAACAAGCAGCTGAAATCACTTGGAGTGTGTAACATAATACTTCATAGCTCAGTAGGTAGCAGGAGGGGGTGTCACTGGTGTTTTTAATAAGCTAGCATTTGGTAGCAGGTCAAATGTAACAGCCTGGGTTGTTTTTTTTGAAAAAGGTTGTGAGCCACAGCTCTAATGCAGAATATGGCAACATCACAAATGGTCTATTGTCTCGATAGTTCCTATTAGTGTTTTTGAGAATTTTTTTTATTTTCATATTTGAAGCACAAAGCTAAGGCATTTCCAGTGAAACAGTTGACTACTGATTACAGATAAGTATGCAGGTCACCCACTATGCAGCCGGAATTAAATGAATTCTTACTGATTACTAAGCAGATCTATGATGTATTGCAGTTTAAAATCACAGAGAATCAAATTAGGAATTTTTGATTTTTGCCCAGAAAGCATGAAACATGTTGCTGCAGCACTAGGAAAACTAAAATGTAGATGCTGCAATAATATGAAAACTAAACAAAACTTCAAAAAAAGCTCAGAGGTTAAAATCACTGCTGTTGGTTTTCTTCCTAGAGGCAGCCCTTACAGGGGCACTTAAAATCACTGGTCCAAGAAAAGTCAGACAAGGTAGGAACAGCAACAAGATGTCTCCTCACTGTTGTTTCCTGTCATGTCGTGTGGTGATGGTGCATTCTTGTGTTCATTTGATGCTAAATTGTGCTCTATCTAAAACTCAACCCAGAAGACAACAGAGAGCCAAGTTTCCCAGTGGTCAGTGTGGCTAGTGACAGACCTCCACATCTGACTTGCACAAAATAATTGAATTACAATTTGGAAACTCAAATAGCAAAATTCTTTGACTTCTCACTTTCATCTGACCTTGAATAGTATTCAGTAATCTAGCTGTCATTGCATATATATGTCTAAGTGCATGTAATTGCTGTGTCACATAACTAAAGGAGAGCAGTCATGTTGGGTATTTACTCTGATGTGCATCTTTGCCAATCAGAGTTGTCCTTTAATGGGGACGTCAGAGTGGAAGGGTCTGGGCAGAAGAAAGGTAAGAGAGTTTTGTGTTTGCAATTCCCCTTCTGTTGTTGTTGTTGTTCTCAGTCTGGTCTGCGTCTGCCCCAGATATATTTCTGAGCTGATTTTGGGTGGTTGCATGTTTAAATTAGGTGGTTGTTTGTGAGGTGCTGTGCATCCAGTTGTTTTTGTGGCATTGTGAATATCAATTACCTTTTCCCCACAGTGGCTGTTTGAAAGGTTTTGAGTAGAAATGACAGGATTCTTACAGAATCTTAGTTTATGCATCTTTACTACTTTACTTTGGTACAGTTTTCACATGGTTGTCAAGTGTTTTTAAAATAAAAAGAAAGGGTGACAATGCTGTATTTGTTACTCCACTCAAATATAGTGAATACAGAACATGAACATTTTCTTACATTTTCCTTCTATATTTGTTAATGTTATTACTGAAGTGATGCTTCTGACACACACATATTTGAAGTTAAATGTAAAGAAAAGTACTCTGTGCCAGTCATAAAATGGTCAGTGTGTGGGTACAAGGTCAAAGGCATGTTGGCTTGGTTGCACAAAACTGCTCATGGAAGATGCATGTCTCTCATCTTACATGAGATTTGTATTAGAGCCTTCTCTTAATTACAGCAAAGAACAAAATTAAACCTCTGAACATCCCGGTCACGGGCAAGTCACAGCAATGCCACTCTGAAGGTGAGTTGTATTTGAAAGCAACACTTTTCCTTAAAAGCATTTCCTTGGCATTTTAACAAAAGGCCATACATATATCAATCTCTTATGGGAAGTCTAGAACGTGTTAGCCTAGCTTAGCACAAATACAGGAATCAGGCTTCAAAAGTGAAGATCAGTAGCTTCGCAGTAGGGCTGTCTGTAATTATTATATAGAAAGCTAACATTTTCAATAAACATTTATTTTTCTTTCAATGTTTTTGCATTTTAATAAGCCTAAATTGTATCACCTCTGTAACCCAAAGGCTAATATTGACATGTTATTATGCTGTAAACAGCTGAATAGCCTATATATTAAGATGCTGACATTTTTAAGAGTTGAGCATGTTGCTATACTAACATTTATGTATATATGTATTTATGTATAATGTTTAACATTTTTTGATTTGATTTTTTGCTTGTTTATATAAACTTTTTGATGTGGAGTTTCTAGTGATGGGTTCTGACATCTGGTTCTATTTTTGGATCCGGTTCTTGGTAGGTAAATAGGCTAAAGAAGCTCATGTTATATCATATTATAAGGAGCTGTGTCAGAAACATGCAGGTAATGTCAGCAGGCGTTTCATTTACACCCTGTCACCGGTGATTACACTATATCAGCTGTTCATCCAAATTCTCACAGTTCCTCTGAAAGTGGTCTTTTGGCTTAAGTTTAATTACTTTAAATTATGGAAGCTTTGATAAGTGACTTTGATACTGAATTTTAATTAAATCTATCAAACTCAAACACTAGTAGTTTCCATGTTAACATGCTAATATTTATGAGTCAAGTTGGTAAACAGCATCTCCATCAGCAAAACGCCAAATGAGTAATATCTTTTGGTAGAATTGTGTTCATCCCTCTGGTAGAGTCCAGAGACTCAAAGAGTCGATGCCAAGGTGTTCTGAAGCTGTTGTGGTGGCCCAGCAACATCTTGTCTTTCCTTTCATTGTCACCCATCTTTAGCTCTATATTGTAGTGTTGTAGGTGAATATTGTATTTAATGACTGGTGGCATTTTTGGATTGTAAGATTTTATTTTGAAATGTCTGTGTTGAAGGTGTGGCACCCATAAGAATCAGTCACAAGAGATTTTGATTTGGGAGATTGTTCTCCATAATCAGCGGAGCCTCTCAGCGTGATTGTGCGTCATGCTGTGGAGTAATGAGGCACTTTACAGTCAGAGGTGCAGCTGCAGTGAGTCTTGAGAGGCTTCAACAAGCCTGAATCAGTCAGTCCAAAGATTAACATGCAGACAGGACAGTGTGTGAGAATCCTTTTCCTAGAGCATGTTTATCGCAAAACACTCCAGTCACTCCCACAGGCTTTTTATGCTGACCCACAAAGCATGATAACTGTGTTAGCTTAACATTGAAATTTGGATTTATTTCTCAAAATATAAGAAGAACAGTTATTTTAAAAGACATAGGCCAGTGGTCACCCACAGAGGATTTTAAATTGAGCAGAATTTTTCCAGGTCCCTTATTAGAAAAATCCAGGGCAACATACATCCATTATCTACACTGCTTATCCTGGGGTTGATCCCAGCCAACACTGGGTGAGGTATACCCTGGACAGGTCGCCAGCTTATCACAGCGCTGACACACAGACATTCACACCTATGGGTGTTTTAACCTGCATGTCTCTGAACTGTGGGAGGAAGCTGGAGTACCTAGAGGAAACACACACAGGAACCAGGACAACATGCTAACACAGAAGGGTCCTGGTTGGCCATGAGGTTCAAATCCAGAACCTTCTTGCTATGAGGCGACAGTGCCAACCATTGCACCGCTGTGTGGCCGCGACCAGACATTTTGTGTTAACAAGTTCATCAGAATTTACTGATATATTAACGAATCCATCCTTAAATAAAAAATTGGAGTAAGAACAAAATGAATTTATCTTTTTCTATCTATCTTTATAACTTTTGAGTGGTGGTGTATATAAATATCAAGTAAGCGTTTGTTCAGTTTAGATTATTACAGCAGTTTGTCTAAGTCAGGTTTGGTCTTTCAAACATTACAAATGACTCTGAAAGAAAATGACTGAATACGTACAAAGAAGTGTTCTTCAAACCTCAGTGTTCCATATCTGCTGTGTGTGTGTTTAGGGACAAATGCATCCCAATCACCCAGTTCATCCTCTTTTTCCAGATGCTGCCAGTCCCCCAGGGGGCGGTGCAGCAGAGCCGTCCACCTCGCAGCCTCCAAGGACAGAAGAGATGACTGAGAAGACATCAGACCAGCCAGATGAGTCAGAGGTACGCAGTTTAATTCATTCTGACCTCACCAGATAATGGAAGTATTGGCAAAAGAGGCTACAGCTAAAATGTCCTGCTAAAAAAAAAAAAGGCAAAATATAAACAACATGTAACATTTCCAAAGATTACCCAGCGAAATCCGTATCCTCCTGACATCCTCCATGCTGAGACTTTGAAGCATTTGCAGTTGCTTCTTAATTGCAGCTTGGTAACTGGGACATGAGGTCATGAAAGCAGTTTTACTTCATCATTCTGCTGAAAACCATTGACTTTTAAAAGGGAACATTTAACTACTAGCAAATGGTTCTTGTAAATTTGAACTATAGAAACCTTATAAGAATATAGATTTCCAGCAGCTGCTGCTTCAGTAATTCTGTAAATGGAATGGAAAATGTCTTGACTCGTAAAGGGAGAAATCTATTGTCTATCACAAACTGACTGCTAAGCTGACCTCCTCCTCCTCACTAACTATTTATGTGTTTGCATGATGAGCCATTGCCATCATGACATTTACTGTGACTTGTGCTAGGCTTCAAATCTCTCACAAAGGTTGACCAACATTTCTAACTTAATAACAGGTTAAAAGTTCAGTGCTGAGACAGTTCATGGGGGTAATCCTCAGTATATTTTTTAAATAAGATCAAGTTGTGCAGTGATTAATGTCGCACAGGTGCTACTCCCCCCCCCTTATGATCAGACATTGAAGCCTGGCCCCTGGGAGACTTAAAGGATGTAAAATGAGCATCTGCTGTCAGGGGCCGCTTTAATAGTGTACACAACATGAACAAGAGCGCTTTTAATATTTTTGCTGTGATTTTTCTAATTCCACCTTTTACAGTAAAATGATGGAACATAAATCAGTGAGCAGTTAGGACTCCCCCCCCACTACTACTGGATTTAAGATCAGGGACAAGGCTAAAGAGCTGCAGTCCTAATGTGAACAATGAATCTCACTTTTTTCACTCATGTTTTCTGTCCCGCAGCTAGCAGCAGCAACGGCCGGGGGCTCAGGGGGCAGTGTTGAGGGCAAGAGCAGTGACCGCACTGAGAGTGAAGATGA